CCAATCAGTGAAAAAATGTCTGTCATCAAAATCATGTATGTTTAACCATGTTTCAGTTATTCCCATCACATCAAAATCTCCATTTCTACCAGTGCTCTAAAGTCATCTATTTTATTTCTTATACTTATAGCATTACAATAGTAGCAATTAAGCCTATCCTTATAACTACTTCTATACTCATTTCCTATGCTAAACTTTTCTCTGCCTCTTATTCTTTTTTGCATTCAGTTTTTCCTGGCTCTCACCACTGTCTAGTCCTAGTTTAAAACTTCCATTACAGCTGAGTTAATAACCTTAGCAAACAAGTCAGCCCCTACTCTATTTAAATTTAAACCATCCATTGCAAAAAACTCCCTTCTCCCACTGAACTGATCCCACAAGTCCAATCAGCCAATCTAATCATCCTTACATACTAATCTAAGCTTAGCATTTAGCCCTAATGACCTATTTATAACTTCATCCCCACATTTAATTCTGGGCAGTATCCCTGACAAAATTAAGTTATGGCCGTTTTCTTTAAGTGCCTTTATCAACCCCTTATATTTATTAATTAGCTCCTCTGACCTACCTTTCCCTACATCATTAGCCCCTACAACATGCACTACAAAAACTGCACCTCTGATAGCCACCTTTGTTATATCTCTTGCTCTGTCAGTTATATTCTCCACCTGTGCCCCTGGGTAGCATAATCTTATTATTTTCTCCTTATTTACCCCCACAGACTATTCTATCCACATGCCTTATTAAGGAATCACCTATAACTATAGCCTCCTTATCATCCACATCCTTCTCTGACCCTTTTGTTTTCCTTCCCTCCAATAGTTCCCCATCTGCAGAAGCCAAGGGCTGAAATTTGTTGCTCAACAGAATAGGCTCATTATAAATAAATTCACCACTTTTAGCCCTAATAGTACTCTTTCTAACTTCCTTAAAGTCATTGTTAGCTGATGTATTCCTTGCATGTAAAAGTCAAGCTCCTCCTGAAATCCCACTGCCATTTTTCACAATCTACACTTCTCTTTATCTGTTGCCTCTACTTTAGTCATGATTGCCTTTAACTTTTCCTCCAACCTTCACACTCTACATAAAAATTTCATATCTTCATTACTAGCTTCCTTATAAGTACATTCCAGTCCTGAGTTCCCAAACAAAACCCACTCCTTGCACCCATTACACCTAACAAACTGCAAATGCTTAACCCCTACAATAGTCTTAACCATTGTATTTATAGTGTTATAGCCTGAAAGCGATAATAATAATACTCAGTACCAAATACCAGTAGTTTATTGTTAACACTGTTACTGTTAGGCCTAACATTTAAGAATCAATTATATAATTTTATCACTACTTTGTCTTCACACTAAAGTAATAAAGTTTATCTTTAATTATATAGAAGTTAATTTATTAGAACAATATACGTAACATTAATAATAAAACATATTTAATTTAGCCTGATTTATATTATAACCTCCTTATATCTATAAAGTATAAGATGAATTTAAACTAATGGATCTAAGTTCAAATATACACATGAATTCTAGAACACCAAGAAACAATAAACTAACATCGTAATTTTTCAATGATTAAACAGTTTTACAAGAAGCACAAAAGGCTTATGTGCCTTGGCAATGACTGGGAGTGAATGAGTAAAATAAAATTTCTAAAAACTTACCGGTGTTCTTTGTTCTTGCACTTTCTTCATTACCAATGCGAAGAACAGAGAATGAAGAACTTGCAATATTGGGTGAAGTCTTTTTTGAATCTAGAAATAAAGAGGGTGATATTTTGATCTTATTACTTTGATGCATTGTTTTATACTTAGAACACCAAATGATAGGAATATTGCATTATAAATTTAAAATACAAATTTATAAAAAATGACAATTTCATAAAGAGTATTACTAGTTAAAAAAATATCTACAAAGTATAATTTAACAAACTACATTATTTAACTACAAAAAATATTTATATCAAGGTGTAGATATACAATTAAAGAATAACCATACAAGTGTTTATCTTTATAACTCCATAATATGTAATAAACAGAGAGAGAGAGAGAGAGTTCAAAATAAAAGCAATAAAGTTGTGTTATAAAACTTCTTCGATGTAACTGTTGGGTTAATGTGCCCCCTGGATCATAAATTCATACAAGTACCAGATATTTAAGATCTATATTTAAGTCGCTAATTAACTTATATCGCATTACCTATAGACGTTATGTGGACCAAACATTAATATTGATGTTTATTTCCAAAATTACCATAAACTGAAATAGATGGTATGGTTCACTCACTTGTAAAGTAAACATTAATAATGGTGTTCATTTCCAGAATTATTGTAATCTGAAACAAATGGTATGGTTTACTCATATGTAAAGAAAACATTAATAGTTGTATTTATTTCCAAAATTATTGTAAACTGAAATAAGTTTAACAGTTCACTCATGTGTAAAACAAACATCAATAATGGTGTTCATTTCCAAAATTATTGTAAACTGAAACAAATGGTATGGTTTACTAATGTCTAAAGCAAACATTAATAATAGTGGTTATTTTCAAAGTTATTGTAAACTGACACAAATGATATGGCTTAGCATTTTACCCTTGTTATCTGAAGATTATAAAACTGAACCAAAAACAAAAAACAAATTACCATCAAAAATGGTTATACAACTAAGTTAATTGACATATTGTTGTTTAAAAAATAAAGAGCATTAATTTAAAATCAATATACCCACATACTGTACCAAATGACAATAAAAAACAGAAAGAAATGGTGTAAAATAAGTTACATTGGGAACCTTCTCACAAAATATATCACAGACTAAACAAAGAAATCTATAAACCAGCCTTCTACTGTAGACAACCTATGCAAAATGTTGTGTAACAACAAAGATAAAACATGTCAAAACTGCAATAGTGTACATGTAGGTCAGATAAGATGTTCCATAACAACAAAAGTTAGAGAACATTTACGAAGCTGGAAATTGGGAAAAATATACTCAACTTCTGCATCACACCTTAAGGAAACTAAACACCAAAACTACAAAATTTTATATGATGATGAAAAAGACAAAAAAAAAACAATTAAATAACCTGGAAATTTTCGAAATAAATAGAAGTTTAAAAACAAATTCATACAAAATTCTTAATGAACAGATCAATGTAAGCTCCTTCCCACTTCTCACCACACTTATCTCAGAGTGAATGTCAAAATTACTTCCAGTTCTTTGGTTGAACATATACATACCTGTTTACAAGCTAATTCAGTCTGTATCTGATGATTCCTTTACTGGTGAAACCATGGTTGTAAAATATGAAATACTTGTGAAACATACAATTGTCAGTGTCCTTGTTTTCTTCAATTCCACAATTATAGAGTTGCACCAAGTACCGATAGTTTTAGATATTAATAATATACTCTTTCATCCTTCACCATATATGTAAATATATATATACACACAAATACACACACCCCAATTGGTTCATAGTGTCTCAATCTTATCTAAGGATTTATTGTTTAGGGAATCAAGTATACACAACTCCATGCTTTTCCTGTAATAAGGAATCCGTGTTTAAGCCTTAATTTTCTATGTAGTGAGGACCCACTTTTTAATTTTTTTTAAGAATATTTCCTCAATGTTTTAGTGTTGTTTCTGCGAATGACCTGTATGCAAAAACAAGAGATACATCTCCTCTACAAAAATATATCTTAAAAATTCTTTAAGCTCTTTAAATATCAAAGTATTAAACAGCCCTGTAAATAATGTAAACTAAACTGAAACTTTCATAAAACCTTTAAAATTTACACTAGACTAATATAACATCCATTACAGATCACTTGAAAACCTTTGATTTAACTTGCATTAAAAAGATTTATGTATATAAAGTTAAAATCATAAATAATATTCAACGTTAAGCTGGTACACAATTAAAAACATTTTATTTAGGCCTTCAAAAAGTTGAAGTCCATAGATAGGCCTAAATAAAATGTTTTTAATTGTGTACCAGTTTAACGTTGAATATTATTTAGGATTTTAACAGAAATACAGTATTAGAAAGATGAAAATACTATTATCTAATAGAATTAATTTATAACTCACTAAAATCAGATCATTTCTAAACTTTTTCTAATCTTTTCTAAACTCCTATCCTGATATTGTGATAATTTCCTATCTTAATAGTTATCCAATTAAGCTTTCAAAACTAAACATTTAAAAATTATAATAATAAACTTTGAAATGTTTTGAGAAATTGGTAAAAAAACTGTTCAGGCTTCTAAAAAGAATTTCTAGTAGTTGAGATTATATTTAATGAGTATGTATCTGGATGAACTTAATCAGAATCTGCTGAATAAAACGTGTGAAAAACAGTATGAGACTTTTGCGAATACATTAACTTTATCAATAATTTCTTATGTACATGTTTTATATTATTCCAATAAAGATAAAACACTTTTCAAATATACTAAGTGTCCTTCATGACTGCAACATAACTCTCACTCACTTTAAGCTACCCATGGTGTATAGTTTAGGCCCCTGATTTTCACCAACACATAATATGATTGTTGATTTTTTTACCACTGTAAAATTTTTGAGTCACACATAAATTTTATGGTTGATTTGATAATAATAATGAACAAAAATATCAAAATATCACAAGTGCTATAAATATAACTTAATACTTACTGTTAACAGAAAAAATACTGCTATTTGATGGTGTACTTAAAGACAGAAGAAATTCCAAATCATCATCATCATCTTTTGCAGTTGTTAAAGAACTTCTTTCTTTATCTTTTGTCTTTGAAATATTGAGTTCAGTACGAGCTGGAACTGCTTTTGCTGAGTTGGAAGTTTCTGCAGTATCCAAACTTAAAGCTGACAAGGACTGCAACAAGTGTCTCTCTGATTTTACATTTTTTGAGAGGGAAAGATTTTCAGTGGCATCCATATTTTTAAATTTAGAATTCTTTTGCTCTGAGACATCAGCTTCAGATTTTCCAGTTGATGAATTGCTTGCATTATTAACCGGTTCTTTCAGTTTTTTAGAAAAGTTTTTGTTAATTTCATCTCTGTTGATCTTGGTTGCAAGTCGTGATTTGTGTGCATTTTTAGGATTTTCTTTCCTGGAAGATTTATTACAGTCTGCCACTTGTTGGAACCTAGAAATTAGTTCTAGCTGAAATTATATGAGGAAAAAAGAAAAATTTTTAGTTGGAATAAATTTCCAGCAAAAGAAATTTTAACTCGCACTTAAAAGCTGTCAAGTATAGTACGAACATGGCAATACAAGTTTAGCATAGGATTCTGTAAGTGCTATAAAAATACACTGATATTAAAAGAAATTTACTATAACAAATAACTCTTCCCAAATATACATACATTCAGTTACTAGTTACATATATGATGAGGTATGTATTACACTACATACATATATATATAAATAGTGTTTAAAAGAATCTTTTGTTTCTCATTATCCTACCAAGCTGATGAGATCTAGTACTAAACAAAAGACTTCTAGGGCAGTAATTTGTGGGAGACAAAAAAAAAGATGTTGAAATTTTATTTTTACACACCTTTGATTCTGAATCTGAAATGGACAAATTAAGAAGAAGGTGGAAGAAAAAACGTTTGCATTTTACATGATCTTTATCACAAATTTTAGGCCTACTGGCCTCTAATGCTTTGCTAGCTTTCAACAGTTAAACTGTAAAACAATTTTATGATTAGTCTTTTATCCAAGAAATGTTCAGAGTAAAGCAATATAACTTGAGAAGTTCCTTATTGGTGTAATGTTTTTCTAAGGAATCAGAAATGGTAAAAAATCTACTAGCTTTTGTATATGTCTAGGTAAAGTTATATTTCATTCTGTCTTCCAAATTAATTACCAGTATTGATTTGCTTTCATTTTTCACACATATATATTCCATTGTTAGCTTAGTATATAGATTTAGCAATATATTTTGCTGGCCAAACCTCGAGATATTATTAGGATTAAGCCTAAAATTATTAAGTACAGTGATGAACCAAATTGTTATTTCTGTTCTATGTAGACAGCTCACTTTGATCAGAAGTTACTGAAAACTGTATATATTATTTTCAATATGCCCTTGGTGAAATATTTGCTTCTTTAGAACAAGTAGTTTTCAAGATTGAATCATTTTAAATACAGTTTTCTTTAGAATCATCCTGTACATACAGACTCAACCTTTATCTATTCTATACCAGTGATAGCAATTATTGACCCAATCTTTGCATGTTCTAAACAAGTACCTGTATACACTGACCTAACAAATATATATCTTCTTATCTTATATGTATGGACATAATATTTCAGCTTGTTCTTAATTTTGTAATAAAAATCAATATGATTTGGGGCTTTCAAATGTAGCTACTGCTGCTTCATAGTGTTTTATACTTAAAACAACAGAGCTTATTTTTAAATGCCAAAATATATATAAACACATCAACAGTGAGAGGTAAGTTGTTCCATTGCATGTGTAATAAAGTTTATAGTAAAATACATGAATTACTGAATTATAAAACAATCAGCTGAAGTTTGACTGATATGCAGCATATGATTTTGTACTTTTTAAAAGATTCATTATTGAATTCTTTACATATAATTTATATTTAATAAGATATATAAACTAAATAATATTATGGTTTACAATCACCACAGTATATTTAATTAGGTATTCAGTTTTAATAAATGAGGTTGCTTTAATTGACATTACTTGAAACTCCTTAAGATAATTAACAATCATCTGTTGTTAAATGGATAACAAAATATGTATGACATTTGTAGTCTAGGAGGAAAAATAAGCTAAATTTTCACATTTAGTTCAACCTCCTTTAAGGAAAAGTTTGACTCGATTTTCTGTAAGAGATGACCCCCTGAAAATTTTAAGGTATGTTGCAAACACAAACTTTGGTAGCAGATATATTCTGTGAGGCTTTTAATCATTCCATTCTCATTAAAGCTGCAAAAGTTATGAAGGATTTTCATGTCACGTAAGCATAGTTTCATTCAGTAATATCCAATCAGAAGCTGTGTAACACATCATTCTCTGTTTTAGCACGAAACTATCCATGTAACTTTAAAATTCTGTAAACTTTATTAAACCTTGTATGTAGCGGAATGTAGTTATACAGTCATTGCAAGAAACATGCTGCTAGCTACCACAAGCAAAGCATCAAACACCCTACATATAAATTAGAATAAAATACTTCTGTTTTGAAATGTTAAGAATTCTATATACATCTATATAATACAAGAAGTATTACTTTAATTCAGTAGGAAATATGTACGAAAGGCTATTGTACTCGTATTTACTGTAATTAAAAGATGGAATTCACTCCATTCATAAAGTACACTGAATACATGTACACAGCGTGGTCACAAGTAAATAGACACCACCTTTTCAGAAAAAATTACATTTTTCAGCCATATTCACATGAATTGATATATTTATAATTTAATTAATATCTAGTAGATCTTCCTTTCGCTTTGTGGAGTTCGCTGATCCTTTGGGGCATTGTGAAAATAATCTCGTCAATTTTAGATTGTGGGATTTTCGCCCACTCTTGCTTCAAAACTTGGAGTAGATCGCCCTTCGAAGTTGGTTTTTTTTGGTTGTTTCTTGATTTGCCAGTCGAGTATGGCTCAGAGGTTTTCGATGGGGTTCATGTCAGGAGATTGGCTCGGCCAGGGCAACTTCTAGATACCATTTTCTTCCTGCCACCTTTGGGTGTTTCTAGCAGTGTGACACGGTGCTCCATCTTCCTGGAACAACGTTGTGTTCTTGTCCACGAAACCAGAGGAATAAAGTGGCAAGAGTCCTTCCTCCAATACTTCGACATATTTCGCAAAATTTATGTTGCCAACGCACTCCACTAAGCTCGTTCTCCCAACAACCCAAACAACTCCCAAAACCATCACGCTGAAACCACCATGCTTCACAGTTGGCTGCAATCTGTTGAGCCAAAACTCTTGGTGAGGCATTCTCCCGACCCATATCCTTCCACTGTCCGAAAATTGAGCGAATCTTGATTCGTCTGAGAACAATACGGTTTTCCAAAAGTCCAGAGGCTTGATCATCATATCACTTGC